TAGGGAGTCGAGTTTTGACCCCACATGTATTAGTGTTTTTCACATAATATTGAATACTAAACACCCCCTTAAAGTTTGTACAGTGCGTGCCCTAACACACTGTATAACATCATTTTGTAATAGAAGATCTTATCGATTAACTTAAATAATGAAAACGGACGTCAATATATGAACTTACGACTGCCTTAATTAATTTTATTAGATGGTTTTCTGTTAGTAATTGATCAAATTGATGAATGGCAAGCCAAAAGAAAATGTTACTGCTGACAAAATACACACATCAAAAGTGTCTAGGGATCAAGTACGTTTAAGAGTATTGCTGCAATTAGGGTTAATTATATTAACTTTTTTGTATCGCTATTGATACTTTTTAGTGAGTTTTAACATTTAAATAAGGAATATTGTTTAAAATTCGATAATAAGAAGAAAATCGATTGTCAATGTGGTTTTCTAGAAAAATGAGTTATAGCGTTTTGACAAAATCATTACAATATCTGCATCGGAACCGAAACAATTTACATTATTATGGAGAGACGACATCATTTAACCCGAGAAGTGATGATGCGAGCCGTCGGAATGTTGGAAGCTGGTTCCAGGCAACGTGCTGTGGCTTTCACTCTTAACACTACACAGAGCGTCATAAGTCGCCTCTGGACGCGCTATCGCATGACGGGCAGCGTGGCCGAGCGACATGGAGGACGATCTCGCATCACGACTCGCAGACAGGACCGGTATATCCAAAATACTGCTCGACGGAATCGTACCATGACCGCCATGATGTTGGTTACGAGGCTCCACAGCTCCTCAGGCTTGCTAATAAGCGATCAAACAATCCGAAATCGTTTACGTGAAGTGGGTCTGCGATCCCGAAGGCCGCTCAGAGTTCCACGTATTGCACCCTGCAATCGCAGGACCCGTTTACGATGGGCTCGCGAACACAGAAACTGGGAGGAAGAAGACTGGCGCTATGTGTGCTTTTCGGATGAATCCCGCTTCGGTATGAGACCGGATACAAAACGTACTCGAATTTGGAGAACATCTGGACGTCATGAACGTTTGAGATATTGTCAGGAAGTTCATCCATATGGTGGGGGAACAATAATGATATGGGCCGGTATTTGGATCGGCGGAAGAACCGATCTCATTTGGATCAGGGGTAACCTCAATGCTCAAGTTTACGCAGAGAGGATTATTTCAGATGTTATCATCCCTTTGCGAGGCCAGTTGGGTGATTCATTTCAACTAATGCATGACAACGCACGTCCACACACGGCTAGAGTCGTAACACACATTCTTGCCGAAGCTCGTATCAACGTTCTGCCGTGGCCTGCTCAATCGCCAGACCTCAATCCAATTGAGCACGCATGGGATATGCTTCAAAGAAGAGCTGTGCCGAGTATGCATACCGTACATACTCTACAACAATATTTTGACTTGTTACAAAACACATGAGCGGCCATTCCTCAAAGTGATTTTGATGAACTCATCTTAAGCATGCCAAATCGCTGTAATTGTGTGATTCGTGTTAATGGTGGAAATACAGATTATTAATTTTCTTATCTTGACAATAAAAATGAGCAAAATCATCATTTTCGCCATTTTTTTGTCATTTAATTGACGCCGTTAATTTGAGTTTTTTCCCACAATTTGCAAAAACATCAATTTTAGTTTATTTTAATTAAATATAGGAGTAAGCGGTTAAATAAAACATAAGCATTAAAGTAAGAAGTCGTCCTGGAAGACTGGATTTGGTAAATATTGCTTAAATAATTTTTATTTCAAAAATATTCACTTGATCCCTAGACACTGTTGATGTGTGTATGATAAAATCTTATTAATCAGAAGAGATTTACTTAATGACGGCCTCGTGTGACATTTTTGTGATTTGTTTATTATTTTTATTATATTTGGATAGCATCTTAGGTGGGATAAACTAGACCACCTTCGTCCTCGAAAGCAACGAAGTCATACGCATGGCCAACTCCAGGTTTTTGTAAACACAGCACACTGTTAATTCTTTGCATTACATATTTTTTGTATTACTCGTACTACATATACCGGTGATGTTTGTAATTATTTGCTCACTATATTCGGACATTCGAGGCAACGTGCTGCATAAATTATCGAAATTACAAATACTACTGATAATAGATCCCGCCCCTCAGCGCGGGGGCGCGGTAAAACTGCGAGTGCGAGAGAAGCGTTGTCAGTGTGTTCGACGGCGCGTGTTTTCCATACAAACTGAGGTACTGCAGTACAACGTTAAAAAACGCAACTCCGCGCTCCGGAGCGCGGTGCATTGTGTTGATCGCCTAGGTGAATTTCACTTACTTTGGGTACGCGAAGTACACTTGCGGAGTCTATCTAGATATATGTCTGTGGTTTAAGTAATAAATTTGATTTGTTATTTTTACATCCTTCTCTGCACAAAATAACTTTTTGATTATTTATAAACACACATTTTCTCTCCGCTTAACTTATGGTGTATGCGCCATGGCTGTACTGTACAGACCTTTACCAATCAACACAAAACATGACTTCGCCGGCAAATGAAGGCATCATAAACCTTTGTACAACTGTGTTTAATAATTTGATTCCATCAGGTTGGTGTTGCTGCTGTCTCTATTGCAAATCATTCAAGCCAAAACGGACTATAGAGAATGCAACAAAATACCTAATATTAAATCCTCCAGGTGTTCTTAATATTAAAGGAAAAGAAACTATCTACAATCCGACCGAAGAAGAGAAGGATGCTTATGATGAATTTGAGCATATGATACGGACTATTTAGGGCTGGCAATTTATTTTTTGACCCGTAAAAATAGTTCTAGTATCCAGCAACATTGCTAGGGTTTCAAGTTTAAACCCTAGAGATGAAACGGCTATCCGATAACTAACTGGTAATCCGGCCGGATACCGGATGTCCAAAACTGAAAACAATTCACAATCAGTACGCCAAATAAATTTATTTATTGATTATAGAGGATAATAATAGGATAAATAGCAACTACACGATTGTTGACAATCTGTTTCTTATTTGTAACTGTAAAGAATTATGAAGTTATATAACGTAATCTGTAAATTTAGTACTCAAGTTTCAATAAAGGCACATTACGGTGGATGAAGACCAGTTTTTCTGCACTAAGGGTCGTATTCCAGAACTCTACTCAATACTCAAGTCAGGACTTGAGTATTGCAGTGAGCACTGAAAATCCTACTCAAGGCCTTGCCATTTGGGTCGTATTTCCAGTGCTTGAAATCATACTCAAGTCTGCTCAAATCCTGACTTGAGCATTGAGTAGAGTTCTGGAATACGAGCATAAGTGTCAAAAGTCGGTTCCGTTTATTTTCATAAACGAGACCAGCTTCAGAGGATAGTTTTTCGATATAAACTCTTGCAAACTTTGTTAAATTTAGGTACTACTTGATATTACCAGACCACTAAATGAAAGGATCGCGATCACGATAGATTCCAACTGTCTTCAAATAATAATCGATCTGCTGTTTTCGTTTAAGCAATGTGTACCGACAATAATGAAACTTGTTAGTAGATTTAGAAAAAATATTAATATAGCTTTGGCTATATTAAAATTTCTAGTGAATTCTAATGAAGGAAACAAAAAGCAGTTACATCATTCTTTGGATTGATGTAACGGAATGATGTAACTGCTTTTTTCTTCTTCACCAAGAGAAATTTGCATTCGGCACAACAAAGAAACGCGCTAAAAAGTGTCCGTACCTATAAGGCGATAAAATCGCATATAGAGCGTCAATCGCGCAAGTCTTCGTTTGTTCGACTTACAGCGCGGTTGTCAATCATGCAGTACCATATTATAATAATAACTTGTAAACATTACTGCAGTAAAGCTTAACCAGGATTTTGTATCATATTTTCACTAAACAAATATATTGTGTTATCATAGTTCTCATTTAAAGGTGTTATTTTGTACAGTTTTATATTATTTAATTTATATGAATAGTAAATATAAATTACAAAAGCACACAAAATAATCAAATAGCTAACTGTGCTTTTTCCACACATTGTATGCGCAAAAGATGAAAAGAGACCCATTACGTCAATTTCAAGAAGCTTATATAAACTTCTTGGTCATTTTCAATTGTTCGACCCACAAGCGATTGAAATATTTAGAACAAAGAAAGTATAGATTCGCTTTGATTTTAATCTAATTTTTAAAATGATTTTTTTTAACGTTAGCAATAACTAACAAAATATTGTTGTACTTGTTTTACGGCTCAGGATTACCTATCAGAAGTCAGAAAATACATTTGCCCGAAATATCGTTAGCTCGAATTTTCATAATGCCAAATGTATTTTTTTAGGAAGATTACAAAACAAAAGCTAACTTTCTCTTTGTGAAAAGCATCAAAATTATTCGAAAGCGTAACGGTTTTATTACAAATCGGTATATATCGGTAATATGGTGTTTCTGGGCCCTTAAATTGTTGCAAGCAAAATTAGGCAGTACTGCAATGACGTTACAATTTATATTAAATGTTTTAGTTTTTTATATTTCGTTACATGTCACTAAGTTTGTATAGGCTTTGGACTTTTTTGCGTGGTTTTTGTATTAGACCCGACGAACACTTGTTGGTAGGTCAAAGCATATTGGCGATTTTTTTTCACTGTTCACATTTTTCTATTGTGTATTGGTTTGCATTGTAATATAATAAACTTATCCTTTTAAAAACCCAGTGACCACAACAAATCAAATCGTCAATATGGAAGTACAATCATTCACTAATCAATCAATCACGGCTATGCGCTCTGTATACCACCGGTAGCAACATGTTTGAAACAATGGGCCAAATATCCGGGTATCCAACCTAGTTGCTCGCCGGATACCGGATATCCGAAATCATTATCCATTTCATCTCTAGTTTAAGCCAAACGTAAGCTCGGGTTTATCCCAGTTTGATAGAAAAGTTGTATCCAAATTTGTATTTCTTGCGAACTAAAACAATTGTTATTATCTACATACCTCCAAAATTTGATTAGCCTTGGAAAAATCGTTGTTATAGAGTGCCAATGCCACTAAACTGTTCGGTTTTGCCAACATGATGGATATGAAATCTATGATGTTGCCTTTTGTTGAGACGAATGCTGTAAGAGAATGTACATAATTGTAAAAAAGTGAAAATAAAGCTAGAATAGTTTTTTTCTTTCAATCATACCATCGTCTGTTGCAGATATAGTTGAAGCCAACATAGCGTGGTCGTCAGGTTTGGAGTTAGTATGCCTTCTCCGCGTTTTGAGTTTCTTTCTTGCAGGTTTCAGATCCACTTCTCGATCCTCGTCTTCGGTACTTTCGTCCACTTCTACGTAATCTAAAGAAAGCTTTAACTGCAACGGACTTGTATCCGGTGATAAACTCGACACTAACTGGAGTTTCCATATGGAATGATTCACAACTTTAACCAGTTTTTTCAGTCTCATATTCACAGTGGAATCGATTTCTTTACCACCAACATCTTCTTCCAACTTTTCTAAACATAATTTCAAGGTGTTGAGCACACTTTGTGTCGTTAATGAGTTGCACATAAACCCAGCATTGGAAGTCTTCCAATTGTTAGAGCCTTTACTTTGCTTCTTTGCATAAAAGTAAGAACATTCAGAATGAGTGCCACAGGGAACTTCCTGATTGTGCTCCTGGTGACACGAAAAGTATTCGTATCTCAAAAAAAGACAAGAAAAAATGTTTTCAATGACTTCAACACAACAATGTAGAGGATGGATTGATAAAACAAGCCTTTTGATTTCATCCAATGATAATGTCGCATCATGTGCATCTTCAGTACTTTCAGAAGAATTTAATACAGTGTCTATTACTTTAGTAATTGCACAGTAGCTGTTGTAAGTCATCACATCCCAATTAAAGTTGCAGTCATCCTTGTCCGCAGGAAGTGTTTTATTGCTGCATCCCAAAAGTTCAGTAATGCAATCATTATTCGCATTCAAAAGTCTCGAAACTTTATACCTATCTACTTTGGACAGTCTACATACTTGCGATATCACAGCAAGAGCGCTCTGACTCAGCGCCTGGCTGAATATGGATGTTGTCATGATTTTGCAGTTGTTTTCCAAACAAAACTTTATCACAGTCAGCTCACGTTTCACTTCAGTAATATAAAAATGTAGCTGTTCATCTGCATTGGTGTACGTGTCGAGAATGGAAAATATATTGGTCAATTGGTGAACTAGAGACGGTAGATCATACGTTTCAGGACAATTTGGCAAATCTATAAGAACCATAATCAGTATTTGTTTGGTAAAATTATTAATTTTGAATGTAATATTTTTCAAATCGTGTAATTGGTGTTTGTACACTTCTGCCGCTTTCAGAAGCCAATGTGTTTTGTCTTGATAACAAAGTTCGAGCATGTATTCGGGCGTTAATTTGAACTCTTTTTGAGGTTCATTTTTCTGCATCAATTCAGAGACCATGCTCAAAAGTTCAGGCTTTTCATAAGGCACGAGACTAATTAAAATTTGTTTCCTAAAATGTCTGTAACGTTCTTCTGCAATCACTTTCAAAATTTGTTGAGTAAATTGAGGTATGTAGTTGTCCTCCCATCTTACTAGTGATAACAATGTTATTAATCTGTCTGAGCAATCGTTCTGACTTAATTCGTTTTTTAAAGCTTCCAAATAAATACTTTGTATTTTATATAACGCCTTTTTATTATCAGAGAGGTGTTCTTGAATAAACTTGACTACTGTAGAGACTGTTACTGGATTAGTTTTCAAGTTTTGTCTTACGAAATCTAAGGCTCCTTCGGATAACTCTTTGCACGGCTTTGATTCTTCTACATCTTCATAGAATTGAAGAAATTCCTTAAGGAAAAAGACATTAATTAACTATGGCTTAACATTTTTGTTTGTTAAAACTAAACTGTGGCCTTACCATGAACTCTTATTACGATTCAGTTTAGGACCTAAAATGAATCGTAGTGAGACAGCGCTACATGAAGTGTATATCACCATCCCGCTTTGTTGTCGTTACGAACCTATACTGAAATGTAATAAGAGTTCATGGTAAGGCCGCAGCAATGATTTAACCCAGATGGAACAAAGGGCACAAAATGGTTAGAAAAACGTTTAATGTATTATCGATTCTGTGTAACTAATACGCAGTAACTTCATTAGATTTCTTTAAATAGTCTCTAGGAGGTCAATCATAAAGTTGCCATAACGAAAGGATACTGTGAATCAATTGGGGCCTTATGCAACAAATTTATGGCTGTTCCGCATATGCCGAGGTGATCGATAGTTTTAAATTTATGTGTAAATAAATATTATTTTATTTTTTAGAAGATATGTTGTACGAGTGCACTATTCTTATTAATGCCTATGTTCGGTCCAGGGGCAATACAAAATAAATAACAAAACTTACCTCAAACACAGCCTCCGTAAGATCATCAAGAAGTCGAAGCATATATTTCAACTCCTTTTCCTTCATCTTGATCACCTTAAACCAAGTCAAAAGAACTATATTGCACTATTTCCACTGTACGAATGCAGCTTCGATACTAATGAAATCAATATGGACTTTTATTAATACTTGTTATGTTAGACTAAGATAGTAAAATAATAAGTCGAATGATTTAGTACCCACTGGATCCCAATTTATAAGAGATATGCAGTCTTGTCAACTTATGTGTCAGTGCGCGTTCCCATAATGTCGTAACGACAGATAGTCGTGCAGTTTAAAGTGTCGTGGATTGTATATTTAAATGAAGTTGTTCGCATATAGTACAACACGATTAAATGTCGTTCACGACTTTTTTGTCGTTACACACTGTCGTAATAATGGGAAAAACTAGACGAAGTCGTCTGACGATGAATAAACGTCACGATAAAAATGTGCCGACAGATAATCGCAACTTCAAACGACTCAGTCGTGCAAACGACAAGGCGGTCGTCGATAAATTGTCGTCACGATCCAGTGGGAACAGCTAGACCTGACAGTCGTTCAACGATAAAATAAACGTCCACGACACAGTCACGACAGATTCGTGATATGGGAACAGGCTAGACGCGACAGTCGTCCAACGAAAAATAAAAAAAGTTACGACATAATACGGGCACGCGCCCTCAGGGTGATGGGCGCAGTGGGAGTAACCCTTAGATCTTTGCGATTTAAAGCTCTGAATAGCACTGCAATTGTTATAGACAGGCATCTATTCCTCTTATATATGTATGTCACAAGTTATTGCCAATCTTCCTTTACAGTTCTTAGATTCTAAGACCATCCCTATATATAATTACCCTCAATGTAAACAGTTAGCTAATGATATCAGATATTTATCAAAACTAGTTGCCCTCTGGGTCAAGCCGCACTGATAGGCTCACTAATGTTCCTGTGAAGATTAAGTACCAATGTACTTATTATTGTTTTGTTATGATAACTGAGTGAGGCAAAGTTTGTCTTCATTTTCAAAACAATTGCTATGAACAACTTTCTTAATGACTAAGAAAGCCTGAAGTGATGGCTTTCTCTCTCTTAAATGCTGAAACTGTGAACTTACAAAATTATAGACTGGTGAGATATGAAAAAAAAACAACAACAACATTCTAAAAGGCCATTGATATGTCAAGTAAATATAAATTATTAGAAGCATTCTTTATATAATGTGATAATCTTTCTTCCTATGCTCCCAAGTATTTGCAACAAAAAAATTAGTCCATTTTTTGCTGGGGATTTCCATACAAACTTTGTCATTTTACGGTACCTTGTGTGCATATATGTATTTATATATACTTTTGTCTAAAGCTCTTTGAAGTGGTAAGTGGCTAACAAAAATGTCAGATAAATAAAGATTTTATTGTCCACTGCACTGAACACTTACATAAACTTTATTTATTATAAAAAGTACATTTAAAAAAAGACGCTTTATCATGTTGACAACTATCAACCATCAGCATCATTGTGAGCTTATTATACATCCCACTGCTGGGCACGGTGAGGAAGAGGTTTTTGGGCAATAGTCTGCCACACTGGGCTTATACGAGTTAGAGACATCACACATTTTCCAAGGGTTGTGAACCTTGTTCGAAGTGCAGGTTTCATCATGACATTGTTCTTCACAGTTAGCAAGCGTAATTGCTACTAAACATTCACAGTTGAACGTAACATAGATATGTAAGTCCTATATTCAAACCATCTACATCTCCATTAAGAAGGAATCCCACTAGGCTACAGATACCAAACATATAATAAAAAATAATATGTAAAGTACATATACGACAAAGAATTGAGTTATTTATTTTAACTCATTTTAAACGTACAAGACCTTGGTAAGTTTAACAAATAATAATTAAAATTTAACCTACTGTACTAATTCAAGGTCTTTTGTATGTAGCTTGACAGTAATGTTTTATTCTTTTTTTATGTTTGGCCGTCCGTAATACAACTTTGTTTTACAAATTAGAATTAGATAGACTTCACTGCTATGTGGAAAAACATAATTATTCACACGATAAATTATAATATTGACGTGATTTATTCAAATCCTTGACGCATACAAGAGTAGCAGTAATTAACGAAAACAACTACATAATAATTTAGTATCCGATTGGAAACAAACGTTTTGATTAGGAAAAACAAAGATGTTTACGAAATATTCTGGAAATACCAAACAAAAAGTAATCTTACCTTATTTACAGCAAATCAATTGAAATTGTTCATGCTATTTCCACGACATTTTTTTTTTAATCATAGAAATCACATAATATTGTTGTTATACAACTTAAATTATATTTCTGTTCGAACTGCCTGCGAACTGCGATTTGATTCACCTCACTTCACTTCACTTTTTATTTTTATGGCTCCATCAATATGAGAACTGATGATTTTGCCAATGTCACAGTTGAAAGAAAAAAAAACGAAACAAAAAAAAAATTTTCGCTAAGCTCTAAGAGGACATTAACCGGTGTTGGTAAGTTGGACTACGGGAGTACTCAGTTGAGAATGTAAAACAAAACAGCAAAACAACATTTATAAATATATGTTATTAAAGTGGATAAATTTATATAGAGTAACAATATGGGGGGAGAACACTAAAGTTAAGAGGTTGTTTATGTTAATGGGGCGGGGGAATTTTGGAGAAAGTAAGTTATAAAGTGGAACAGCAATATTAGGACAATTGAAAAAAATGTGTTCCAAGGTACCGTCTTCTAGGCCGCACTCGCACAGAGAGTGATCTCGAACTCTGATTTTACGCAAAAATACAGGTGTGCAAACATGGCCTAAGCGCAAACGAATAATAGTGGAAGTGATGTTTTTAGGCAAATCGCGACGTTTAAAAAACCAGGGTTTAGTGGGTAGATTTGGTTGGAGGTTACCATAGTGTCTACCAACAGTTTGTCGTGATTCCTGCCAAAGGACCGACCAGGAGGCTAGCATTTGGGGTTTGGTCATGGCGAGCAGATCTCTGGGAAAGCACTTACAGTATTTGCATACGCCAATTCTTGTCGCATCCTTTGCAAAGGCGTCTACTGCTTCGTTGCCACTAATCCCACTGTGACCGGGAATCCAGGCCAGAGTTACCTCAATTCCCGCACAATGACATCGGTACAGAGCTTCCTTAATTTGGAGGGTGATGGAGAAATTGTCTTTGGAATGAAACGGTAGCTTAATAATGTCTTGGAGGCAACTTAGTGAGTCTGAGAAAACCAAACATTTATTAATTTTATGGGACTCAATATATAAAATGGCTTCGAGTATTGCAATTGCCTCTCCCGAAAAGACCGAATTCAGATAGGGGGATTTAAAACTGAGTACGACATTGAACTTGGGGAACCAAACCGCGGCTCCCAAGTCACCATGTTCGTGTAATTTTGAAGCGTCGGTAAAAACAGTAGTCCAGTCATGCCATTCTCTCTCAACTATATCGTTGAAGACTTGGTTTGCTCCAGGGGTATCTTTCATGATGCCAAAACTAAGATAGACTGTTGGGCGAAACGTTAAACATTTAAAATCAGTTTCAAACAACGGGTTCATATAATTTTGGTAAATAGGGAATGGGAGATTGGAAATTTTGTTAAAACTGTTGATAAGAAGGGGAGGTTTCTTGTGTGACCAATAATTGGAGGAAGGGATAATCTCCGACAAGGATTGCAATACGGGAAGCAAAGGGTGAGAAGAATATTGAAAGATCTTGAAGAGGAATCTATTAGCAAGGAATTGTCTACGTAGATGTAGAGGGGGCTCCAGACATTCGACTTGAAGAGCGTTTGTTGGTGACGATTTCATGGTACCTGTGATTATTCTCAGGCATCTTGCCTGGATTCTGTCCATCTTAGCCAAGGCTATTTTGTTGCATGGTTCCAGAACGAGGCCGCCATAATCAAAATGACTTCTGATGATTGCGTTGTACAGGAGCTTTTGGTTATACGGATGTGATCCCCAACGAACACCAGAAAGTGCACGTAGGACATTTATGCTTTTTTCAGCTTTTTGACAAATGTAGTTGAGGTGATGGATGCCAGATAATTTTGAGTCCAAAATAATGCCTAAAAATTTTACTTTTTCCCTCAGTTCTATGTTTTCCCCATTAACATGTATTTCAGTTTCAGGAAGGCGTCTCTTGCGGGAAAAAACGACAGCTGTGCTTTTGGTAGCTGAAAGGGAGAGGCCGTGATCGGTAAGCCAAGAGTCTAGGTAAAAAAGGGCAGAGTTGAGGCGTCTTTCAATATCTGAAAAAGATTTGGAACAAGCGTACAGGGCGATATCGTCTGCATATTGCAAGATTTTGCAGAAGCAATTGACTGAAGTGCCGAGGTCAGACGTGTACAAGCTGAAAAGGAGAGGGCTAAGAACGGAACCTTGAGGCAAGCCGTTCCAGACCATACGGGAGGGGGTTGTGGAACCGTTAACACGCACTGCGATAGAGCGACCCATAAACATGTTGTTAATGACATTGATCATCTTCACAGGAATACACAGATTGAGCATCTTCTGCCAGAGTAGTGGAAGATTCACGTTATCATAAGCTGATGTTATGTCTAAGAACACTCCTATAGTAACCTATGACGTGTTTTCCCTCGGAGAGGGCTAATCGAACATCTGATGTAAAAATGCTTAGGCTGTCCATAGTGCCCATGCCTTTTCGGAAGCCAAACTGTCTTCTGGGTAACAATCCCTTGCTCTCTACTATCCATTCCAGACGGTTTTTTATTAGGTGTTCCATGATTTTAGCTAAAACAGATGATAGGGCGATAGGTCGATACGAGTTTGCATTAGATGGGTCTTTCCCAGGTTTTATGATTGGAATGATAATTTGTGTTTTCCATGAAATAGGGACTATGCCAGATTCAAAAATTGTGTTTATAATAATCAAAAAAAAAAATTTGGTAGGATTAGAGGACCTGGTAATAAACGAATAGGGAATGCCGTCCGCACCCGGCGCCGAATCCTTTAAATGGTCCAAACCACAGCTTAGTTCTTCAAAAGAGAAGGGGGCATTCATACTGTCAGGAGATGACAAGGAGGTGTTTATAACGGCAGGAGCTTCTGAAGGAACAAAAGGGGGGGGATAATTTTGTAATAAAATCCACAAGTCAGGGTGTCGGGTCGTTAGACGAGGTGTTGTTGTGATCAGTCTGAGATCTGCGAAAGGATTTTATTCTCTTCCAGACTGTAGACGGGTGGGTGCGGGGTTCCAGAGATTCGCAGAATGCACGCCATCCTTGAAATTTCTTTTTGCTCAGAAATCTTCTCGTGTGAGCGGAAATCTTTTGGAAAGTTAAACAATTCTCAAAGGATAAGTCACATGCGAATTCAAGTTCTGCCCGATTTCTTTCCTTGACTGACGAAGAACATTCCGAATCCCACCACAGGGGAGAGGAAATTTTGCTATTTGCAGAGTTTTTTAATGGGATCGTTTCATCTGCGGCTGAAAGCAAACATGTGATGAACTCTGAATATATATGCAGAACTGTTGAGGGGGTTACTTGAACTGGTTGCATGTTTACAATTTTGCTGTTCAGGACCAAGGAGTAAATGTCCCAGTCTGCCTGCCTAAGCCTGTATTTAAGTAAGGGAGGGGGGTCTGGTGTGAGGATAGGTGAGGAGTCTCCTACTGAAATTAATATAGGAAGGTGATCGCTACCAAAGGAATTTAACAGAACAAGCCAGGAGGTGGAAGGGGCTAAACTAGGAGAGACTAAGGTTAAGTCAGGCGCGCTGGTATTTTGAAGGGGGGAAGTTCTGCGTGTAGGAGAGCCATCATTAACAATACATAAATTTGTGTTGTCCAGAAGATCGAGAAAAGCAGAGGATAAAGAGTCGCAAATGTGAGATCCCCACAGCGAGTGGCGTATATTGAAATCTCCTTAAACAATTAGGCGGGAAGGGAGGGATGAGAGGATCACGGATAGTTCTATGATGAGGTCAAGGCTAGGATGGGGAATGTAGACAGAGACAAATGATTTGTTTTGTGCTCTAATAGCGACAACATGGAGGCCTGTGGAGTGTGTGGGGATGGAGAGTTGTGTATATATGATGTCCCTTTTCACTAGTAGGGCGCATCCAGCCCACCCATCACTTCTGTCATTCCGAAGGCATGCATAGCCAGGAACTCTGAATAGGGCTCCCGGTTTTAACCATGTCTCGGAAATACCAAAAACTACGGGGTGATATTTATTTATCAGAAAAATAAGCTCGTGTTTTTTATTTTTTATATTACGGGCGTTCCATTGTAGAATTGATGTCATTGTTGGATAAAAGAGATTGTAATAATTTTGAGATCATACTTTGAATAATTTCAAGGCCATTGTACGGTAAGATGTCATTAAATTTGGAGAGTACATTTATAATTAAATTAGTTATAATATCACCTCACCTTTATGACAAGCGTGACAATGACAATCAGTGTTGCCAGGTCAAATCTGACAAAATCGGAAGATATTGCACCGAAAAAACTGTAGATTGAGGAAAAGAACGTTACGTTGCTTGAAACACTTTTAATCGATTTTCTTCAAACATTGTCACGTAATATTTTTAATGTTATCTTACGATGTTAGTATCTGACAATAAAAATTGTATTTTAACCGACTTCAAAAAAAGGAGAAGGTTCTGAATTCGTCTGTTTGTTTTTTGTATGTATTTTACGCGATAACTCCAGCATTTGGCAGTATGGCATTTGTGAACCGATTTGGATGATTCTTTTTTGTTGGAAAGAGGGTACCTCAGTAGTCATTAACAGCCTACCGTAGTTCACAGCTGGACATAGGTCTCTCCCAATGCGCGATTTCGCCCGGTCCTGAGCTCGTTGCATCCATCTACTGGTAGCAGCCCTTCGCAAATCGTCACTCCATCTGGCCACAGGGCGTCCTGCACTACGTTTTCCAAGCCGTGGTCTCCAGTCAAGAACCCGCTTCCCCAGCGGTTATCGGTTCTTCAACAGATATGGCCAGCCCACTGCTACTTCAGCTTGCTTATTGTACCTGTTATATAAACGACCTTAGTTCTCTGTCGGATAAGCTCGTTCTGTATCTTGTCCTTCAAAGAAACTCCGAGAATAGTTTGTTCCATAGCTCGCTGAATGACTTTCAACTGGTGAACTAACCGCATCGTGAGTGTCCACGTCTCGACTCCGTGTGTCATAACATGTAGAATGCGCTGATTAAAAACCTTTGTTTTCAAACTTTGAGGCACTAGCCTCTCGAAGAACCGGATGAAGTAAAGTGACCTGTACACTGGCTAATCTGGGGTGAACTTGTATAGTTCCTGTGCGCGCACAGGTCGTAGTGCGCTTCTCGTATGCTCTAAGGGTAAGTAGGGAGGGTCACTATAATAAAAACTAACGTAGAAAGATAATGGAGCTTGTTAAGTTGTTACCTTTGAGCTGATGGTTTTAGAGCCAATGCTCAATTAGTAAATAAAAAATATTGTTTAATTCTTTTTATTATTATTATTATAAACATAAACAAAGATTTTAAGCTTAGAGGATGCCAAAAAAATAAAGGAAATTTTATGCCAGTTTTATTTATTGTTTCGTCTGGATTGTTTATTTGTTCATTCACCATTTAATAAATAATTAAATTTTCGAAAGCGATTTGAAATTGAAATAATGTTTTATTAATTTTATTATATATGTACAAAGCAGAGTTCAAAATAAAATCAAACAACTGTTGTAAACAGTCCTGCTAATGTCGTTCACTTGTTACGTTACTGCTACTCACCTAAGCTCACGTTTATTTACGAAATGCCGAACGACACATAATACGACTAGTATTCCTGTGTTTCGTGATTATTTACAAAGATAAAAATACAACTGTATGATAATAAATACAGATGCTGTAATTTGGTATGTAAAAGTCAGAATTTGATTTGTTTTATACACACAGAGCAGACTATTAGATGCTAACGCATACACAGAGTCACAATGAGATTATTAACTCGTGGAAGCGTCGTGAGACATTTTTGTGCTTTATTTGTTAATCACACAAGCAGACAACTTAACCACGATGCCTTACAGCTAAGGCACTATAGTCTTACAATTAAAAGGCAAGTCCTAATGTATTCTTTAAAATTGACACCTATAACCTATGTGTGCTATTCTGACGAAAAAAAGCATTTTATTCAATTGGAGAAGAAGTCTGAGGCACTGAAAGATGCATTACAGCACAAGAAGGAGCAGCTTCGAGATACGGAGCACAGAATTAGACAGAAAAGTGAAGAAATAATAAGGGATATTAAATATCAGAAAGAAGTTACTGGACAGCGGTTGCGTGAAAAGAAAGACCATTTAGTCCAAGATATATTACAAACTAAAGCGAAAGTAAGAGAACGGTTTGAGGGAGTCGTAGAGGTAACTGTTGTTTCTTCAGTTTTTTTGCTCATTTTGTTTGTAGCCCTGGAATAAAAAAAATCTGCAGTGTTTCAGGGAATGTCCATAGGTCTACCAGAATTACATGATAGAAATTGAAAAAAAAAAATTAGAATTTTATTTGACGTCTTGGTTTTGACCAGTGTCAATATTTATGATGTAAACAGTTATGGATCTTTAAACTGACACTATCGATGATCACCACAATTTATTTTGTAATACATCTTATAAAATGAAACTCTGGCACAAGCATAGTGCCCCCATAAAGGAAATAATAATAAACCATGATTTTATTGTCAATATCCAAAATTCTTTTTTTTTATTAGTTCAATATCTTCATAAATAAATAGTAATCTAAGAAACACACCTACTCATAGGATATTCATTATTATTCTTATATAAAGCATACTGCAACATATCTACTGTGTGGCATTGAACCCGATAGTCTACAGTCCACAACAAATGGAACTTTTATATAAACTTAGACAGTTAAGCAACCCTAATGTATCATTGTTATAGAGTGATAACCACGCATGTACAAGAATAGGTAGACCAACATCAATTTGGGCACTCTCTGATATTTTATGCAAGAAATATTTTTAATACATATTGCGAACTTGCAAGGTTTTTCACACTCAATTAACAATATTCTCATTTCAGAAAGACAACCCGTTTACCATACCAAATTTGCTATGTGTGGCTAGGATCACCATGTCTCCATATCTTGGCTATGTAATTATGCATGACAAATATGAGCTGGCTCTTGGCTTGCTTTTCGTTGCTGGGATCTCAGATTTGGTAAGCATGGAAATTTTTAACAATTTATTACTATTGCCATGGGCCAATACACCAGTTACACAGATAGATGTCGTGATGATTGCCAAATAACTCTTGTATGATATTTTACATTGACAAGGTGAATTTTATCAAAGCTACTTTTAATTTCCCTTTGTTGCCCATGGTACTACCAGTAGAACTACACGGGCAATAATCATCTCCCATGTAACTTCAACACTTGTAATATGGGCAATAATACTTTCCCGTATTACTACGAACAAGACAAGAAGCGTTTTATTAATTTCATAAAACAAACAAACCAAAAGCCAAACAATACAATAAAAATGCATTTTAACTAGCAAATACAAATCAACCCTTATTCTTCTTCAACCTTAGAACTAAGTCCAAACTCATGGTACCACTATTTCATTTAACTAAGGTAAACAATTATTTTAAGGGGAACTATACATGTTTTTACAATAACATTCCAAAGCATATATTAAGATTGTCATTTCTTAAGTTTAAAAACTACATTAAAAATAGTCTAATTGAAAATATAAAATGTGATATATTAGGATTGAGCGAGGCGAGAAGGTTAGGAAACACAACGGAAGAATACAAACATTATGTCCTGTTCTACAAAGGAGCTACCAAAGGCATGAAACACATCATTGAAAAACAACACATGAAAAACGTCATTTTTAAGCTACTGCATATTCACTATGCTGACTTCCCTGAGAAGAACGAGCAAGAAACTCTAGGTGTTGCTCTTTTCAAATAAACTTAAATGCTTTGGAATACACTTTGAATTGAATTTGTGTGAAATTTAGAGCCATGTCTTCTTTCCATACATCTTTATCTAACACACAGTCTTCAATTTTGTAATATGACTTTTTAATTAGAATATTTTTAATGTAGTTTTTAGACTTAAGAAATGATAATATATGCTCCGGAATCTTAGTGTAAAAACGTATACATATAGTTCCCTTTAAAATAATCATTTAGTTTGTACTTAGTTCTAAGGTTGAATAAGAATAAAGGTTGATTTGTATTTGCTAGTTAAAATGCATTTTTATTGTATTGTTTGGCTTTTGGTTCATTTGTTTTAGGGTTGTTCTTCAAAAGGGGCAAAAAACGTCTTCCGGTCAATTATTTTAATATACTAAAATTTCATGACACAATTAATAAGCTTTTTATATATATTTACCATTATTTTACATGTTACCCAGTTTAAAAAATACATCTTTGGTTTAATTTATGAAAAAAAAATCAAAAATGTCGCTAAACGTCATTTTACTCCTATTCCTATGACGTCTCTTAACACAACATTTGTTCACAAATAATTTATTAAATACTTATACATTCTAAAAATTTTATGAATGAAAGTTTAATAAATTAACCTTCGTTTAAAATAAAAACCTCTTCAAATACTTTGCATGGTTAACTTAAACTTCAATTCAAATTATTGCTACAAGAAAAACGTCATTTGTCGCAGTAACGTTGTTAAATCTTATTATTGAACGACGCATTTTCGAACGCATCTTTAATACACCTTCCCGGGTGTGCGGGAGGGGCCTTCAGTCGGCGGAGACCTATTGGTGAACGAGGACGTGCGGGTCTGAGAGCTGTAAGTAATTTTTTATAGTTCTTCACATTTTGTCATTAAAAATATCATTTGTGTTTCAACCTAAACTCCTTAAATGCACATACGTAATATTTTCGTTTGTATTTTATTCAATAGCCAGTGGCAAATGAATTCATTTAGTCTAATCATAACGGTTTTTTTAATGCTCACAGACAAGTCCATACAGGTTTTTTCCTCAACTCGTCATTCTATGCTACATCATTGTCGGCACTTATCCGATTCGCCGTCATCGCAATACCGGAATAAATATATGTTTTATATTATCAGTCAATTGTCGTCCCAACACAGTAATATAACTAGAATAACCTGGAATTATTCTGAAGCTGGGCACGGAAAGGGTGCTCCTGATGGCGTTGGTGGTACAATAAAAAGAGTAGCAGATCAAATGGTGCATTTTGGTTCAGATGTTGGAAATTTTGATGAGTTTTACAAAATCATGGAATCAAGATTAGAAAATATTATAATTCAAAGAGTTTCAGAGCAAGACATAATTCAGAGGGAGAGATTGATTCCTGAGCAGTTGAAACCATTCAGGGGCACCCTTTCTGTACATCAGGTTCTTTGGGACGCGTTCAGACCTAAAATCACTATGAGAAATATGAGTTGCTTCCTATGTGATGCTGGTGAAATTTGCTCCCATGGTAAGCATCTGGGTTATATCAATAATAAGTCCTTTAGAAATCAGAACGACGATCTTGATTCTTGTGTAACTCCCCTGGCAAACACTAAGCGTAAATCTCAAAATCAAAACAAAATTCAGATTATTTCTAATGTTCTTATTGATGTCACTAATAAGACTCAGCTTCAGTGAAAATTGACCCATTTTGATTATTCCAATTTAGTTGATAATAATTGCGATTGGAATTAAGATGATAATACGTGATAATATCACGATTTTTTGCGTGAAATCTTTTGAATCCTAAAATTGTAAGTAAAAGTATACTATTTGAAACTTAATATTTGTCTATCCTGTGTGTAGATCAAGGATATTACGGGGATGAGGACGCAATGCGGATGCAGATATGAATATTTTTAAGAGATATACATCACGTAGCTAAAATATGTGGAACTCTCTTAATAATTATATCCTTAATTGAAGAAGTTAATCTGTGATTTTTTTAAATAATTACCAAATTACTATTACCAAAGAAAAACTAAATCCCGTATTACAGAACATAGCTCAATACTAAAGCATTACTTAAAACTAGATTCAAGCCAGTTGATTGGTTGAAACTATTTTTTTTATTTCATCAGTACTCAAGAATTACTTAAAAGTAGATCCAAGCCAGTTGATTTCTTGAAACTATTTTTTTTTTATTTGATTAATACTCAAGCATTACTTAAAATTAGATTCAAACCAGTTGATTGGTTGAAACTATTTTTAAGTAACGCTTGAGTCTTGGTAGACGTTCTATAATACGAGACTGAGTCCCTTATTAGCTAGATGATTAAGTTATTTGAGTGTGACAGTTTGTTTTTAAGAAATATCTAAGTACCTACTTAGCTTCACAGTTACGTATTTATCGCCTCACGCTAATAATTTAAGATTGTCATTTACTTTGAATCCTTTGTTTAATAAATAAATATTATATAATATACTTAATAAATATTTTGATTACTTAAATGTTTTTTTATTGTTAAATACCCAAAAATGAAAGATTTTAGATCATTGTCTGCAACACGGCGTCATTATTATACAAGCTAAAGTCATTCTCAGTGCGTGGTGTCATTAGTATCAACGTGAATAATTAGAAATTTACAAATATTACGAAGAATAATGAAAATTAATACGTGCCTTTCATAAAATAATCTTTTAGAGTATGCTTACATTGCATTTAGCTTGATAAAAATAGCTTACATAAAGGTTCTAAAAAATATATGAAAACTTAACAAAAATAATTTATTTCGAAGAACAACCCTTTATGAAATTAATAAAACACTTCTTATCTTGGAAGTAGTAATACGGGAACGTATTATTGTCCGTATTACTAGTGGTAGTACCATGGACAAAACCAATTACCCGTGATACTACTAGGCCTGTCGGTAGTTACACGGGAGATTATTGTTGCCCATGTAACTACTAGTAGTTCTGCTGGTAGTACCACAGGCAACAAAGGTTAATTTCTGAAATAATAAACAGAACAACTAGATGGCGCTTTTTGCACATTTTTATGGATATTGACGACTATTCTTTTATTTTGTTTAGGATTAGCGCCATCTATCCATGCTATTGGAAATCAGCATAAATATAGGAAATATCTATGGAAATAGACCCAGAAACTAAATTAATTCACTGCCTCCGTGGCCAAACAGTTACCATGCTGTACTGCCACGCAGAGGTCCCAGGTTCGATTCCCGGGCCGGGATAAATATTCGTATGGCCTACATTTATTTCTCTCGTGAGTTTGGGTGTAATTTGTGGTTCTCTATGTGTGTGTCCATGGTACCCGCGACACAGGGTTTCCCTAAGGCGGGGCTATGTTGAGTGTGTGCGTTATTATTATTTTAAAGGTTTTTACTGCTTTATGAGTTCCTTTTTTATATTAAGCTATAGTGTTCTTGTACCTCACTATCAATTAGGCAATTTATATTGCCGCGAAACAGAATGGAAGCGAATTTTTGTAATGAAATTGTACGCATGTCGTCGCATTACTTTCTCAAACTCGTATCCTTTAGGACAAATTAACTGAAATGCAAAAAATGCATTGTATTATACGGGTTAAAGGTTAAGTCGACCTGAATCCTTTAAGGGGTAACAGTTTGCATCATTTCTGACAAATTTCACTATGAAACACCATACCCCAAACTGAACCGTTCTCATGTTATAGGACTTTGAAGTTTTTTTTTTAAAAAGTCCAATTTTTTTCCTAATGTCCCATTTTTTGTGTCTTGTGCTTGTTATCATTTTGTTTTTGGTATTTTTGTGTAGTAGATTAATAGATTTATTACTCAAAATACCAAATTTGCAAGTAATTGTACCAACTGCGCCGTAGTAGACGAGTTTTTGTTAAAAATAAATAAATAAATTGCTATTTTTTAAATTCTTCCTTAGACATTGAAAAAAAAGTCTATGACAGTTATGCTGCAGATGTGCTTAAAAATATCTACAGTTCTTTAGCTTTCTAAAAAGGTATCAGAAGCTAGATTTTTTTTTTTTTTTGGGTATTTGGCTTCTGTCCCACTGAGGACAATTTTTCCAGTGTCCGGGTTGAAAGATACACGGTATATTTATCAAGATTCACTCAAACGACGATGATCGGTTGCACCATCCTATGGACAAAGACAAAACACGGGGTTATTTGACTAGCTACTTTGGATGAAAAGCGTAAACACATGCTGTGCACATAGTAAAAGTTATAACCGTATGTTATTTTGTTCAATATATTTAAATAGAGTAAATAGTAGAGGAGGTTTTAGGGGAGAAAGGATACTATAAAAATTTGTGGGACGAGGGATACAATCCGGAAGAAGATCGTATAAAGAGACGGGATATAATACACAGTTAAAAAATATATGGTCAAGAGTTCCTTCTTCAAGACCGCACTCGCAAAGGGAGTGATCCCTTATCCTGAGCTTAGCAAGAAAAGTGGGTCTGCAGTTATGTCCTAGGCGCAATCGGATGATAGTTGAAGTTGTTCTTTTACTGGCCTCGCGGAACTCGAAAAACCAAGGTTTCTGTATTACTGGTTGAAGACCAGCATAATATTTGCCTTTTTGTCTGCTA